CCCAAATGGCAAACGAAATTCTGCCCCCGTCAAGCTCTCCAGCTGGGATGCTGTTAATAGCGTTGATAACGAGTCCAGCCCACGCCCATAACAAGAGAGGGTTAAGAGAGATGGGAGTGCCTTCCTTCAGCGCTTTCCCGAGAAGAAGCTTTGCTATAAATGAAACGAATGTCAGGGTTTTAACATCTTATATCTACTTAAGGAAACAAAGGTTTGCTGAAATCCGTTATCCATTCGAAACTTGAACATGCACATAAAGCCTAAGCACGCAATACATCTCTAAAACAAAGTGCTTACCAGTACCCCCAATAAGAAAAGACTCGTGAAAAACAGAAGCATCGACAACGACACCAATGCCATCACTAGGTGGTAAGAAGAATCCTAGAAGCAGAAGAACAAATCCCAAGGAAAATCCAGCCAAGGGTCCTGCCGCCGCAACTTTCAGAAGACTTTCACGCTTGGGTACAATATTCACAATTCTTGTAATTGTACCAAAAGAACCTATCTGCCAGCAAACAGTTCATTAAAACTTGTCTGTGTTTAGCAAAAGAAAATTAAAGTAAACCAGCACGCACGGGTAGAAGCAAGCATGTCAGCCTCGTGATAAGCCGTAATTTCTATACTTCTGTCCTGATCACTTCTCCTAGCAGTTCTTTCAACTCATGACATGATTGTTAAAAACTAGCGACAAAGAAACAATCAGCCTGTATGGAAAGTAAAGCTACTGTAGGGCAGACATTCACAGATATTTACTCGTATATGGAAACGCAGATTTATTCAGGTAAACTCGTCATTTAAAAATGGGGGGTTGGGGGAGTTTCTTCATATGAAATTCACCTGCCAGCTGGGGATAAAGTATGGCACTCCAAGCACGACTCCAGTGCTGTTTGCAACTAAAACATGGCCGAGCTCATGCACCCCCAGGACAGCTGCAGTTACAAGGGCTCCAGGTAAACCATTCTTTAAGAGCTCAGGATTATCAAAAGCTGACCTGGGACATTTTTAAAACAACAAAACTATTATCGCGAGTGTGCACTATTATCTTGAGGATTAAAAAAAAAGAGAGCATATAACAGTGTATTGTATTGGTAACCATTGACAACAAGAACCTATACAGAATACTTCCTATTGACTTAGTATTAGGAACATACAAGAAAGGAAACTTGCATACAGAAAATTGGACTGCAATTCAGGAACATTTTGAAGAAGTAGGGTAAACAACGTGACCAATCCAAAAGCACCAGCTGCAAACCACTCTGGGACGGCTGCAAGATTGACACCAAATCCATCATCGTAACAAATCATAAGCTTTAGAGAATGATTTCTGCCTACAACTTCCATGGAAATCCTGTAACAGGGCAGGAGCTAAAGAATCACCAGTTGACTCTGGCTGTAAAGTCCTTTGTGGAACTACAACGGCCACTGGTTGATCATCCTCAGGATTGACTAGAAGGAAAAGCTTATATTCATCGCCAAACTTGTCCTACAAACAGATTGTGCAGACTTTAACAGGGAATCAATCGTAATTTTGAATCGTAAAATAGAGGAAGTACAGAAATAGATACCTGCATTCTCCTTGATATCTTTTCATAACTTTTAGCAGGCACTCCTCGCAGGTTTCCTTTAAACAATACTCCAGTCTGGTAGAAGTAACACAAAATCAGAGGTTTTGCAAACACGCAGGTTAGAAAGCATATCTTAACATTCCAATGGTTTGCTACATTATCAGCTTTTTCTCGACTACTCTTTAAAGGATAGTTTTTAAGTGCACAGAGAAGCATGCATAAATTCGTACCCTCCATAGGAATATTGAAGGAAACTTCACCCAACAACTGAGGTTATATCGACATGCCATTCCCTATGTTTACTTCACCTATATCCAGTGGAGAAATTGACATGGACATAAAAAGTAATGCAATCAGTCAACTCACCTCATATGGATCCTGGCCTGTCACAAAAAAGGTATCAAAGCCGAAAACTTGGTTCTTAAGAATATCAATTGTTTCCTTTGGAATCCGGATGGATTCACCCAGCTGTGGCTGTTCAGGAAAATATTAAGAAGGGGGTGTTAAAAAGAAGAGATGATAAAAAAAGAGGCGTCTTCTTGTACAAGAAACATCAAAGAACTTCATAATCACCTTCACACCTGGAAGAGGTGATCCACTGGAAACTTCTACATTTTCAACTTCCTGTCATAAACACAACCTTAGCACAATAAGCGTCAACGGAGCTAATTTCCAATACCCTCTTCATCAGAATAAGAAATTAATTATCCTCACTTTTGAGATAAAGAAATCTGAATAGTGAGAGACCAACATTCTGGCAGATAGACTCTCCTGTTAGGGGACTGATATCTAATGGAAAATTTGCCCACATATAATGTTCGCGACTGGGGGTTTCATACTGAACTCCAAGGACAATATTTTCATGTATAACTAGTGAATGGGAGTCACTAAGGAATACGCTTTGAGTAATTATTCGTACTACTACCTCCATCATGAGAAACAGAAATGAAATCAATTTCGCCTATATCCGAGTACACAATCACTCTGTTATTAACTTGTAAATCTCGAAACTTGAAGATGTAAGGAAGATAAAATTTTCAATTGACTGACAGTACCTGTTGAGCCTTAGTTTCAGCATCATTGTTTACTTGGTCTGCAACTATCGGCTGCGAAGCGAGATGGACGGCATCGGAATCTCCATCTTCATTTTCATGTCCTTGTTTTTCCTAAAATCTCAAAATAGATAAGAATTGAGAAACATGAATGTTGAGAAATTAACATCAAAATTTAACAAAAAATTGAAATTGCACCTCATCGTTATTGCTATCCGGTGGCGGTTCGGTCTCCGTCTCACTCACTCTACAAACAACCTCCCGCTTCCTCAAAAATCTAAATTAATCACAATAGTCAAATTCCAAACAGAAGAATAACAATAATAATTTGATAATTGTTTGGTGAGATTATACAGAGAAAATCTTGCCTCGAAACCTGGTGGAGCTTCAAGCTGCTTCTACGACGATGTCGTTTTTGCCAAGAACAGGTTCCCGAAGCGAAATAGGGCTGAAAACGAAGATCGCAGCAAGAGCTGCACTGCGATAAGGGGACGAAATTCCCTCGAAAGGTTGCGGAGAAGTTCATTTCAACTAGTAGCTAGTCAGAGGTTCTAATTCAGATGAAACCCTAGCGCCATTGGAGCTTGGAGAGAAGCTTTTGTATGAAAGTTAGAAGCTTTCAGAGTGTCAGTGAGGTGAGACCGTGAGAGGGCGTCTTATCCTCAGAAAAGATACAAACACACGCAGAGAGGAGTTATCTGTTTTCAGGATCGTTTCGTTAAAGCGCGCGTAATTGGTATTTTTTTTTAATTATTATTTTGTGTACTCGTTGAATAGTGAAGCAAAAATGCTAACAAGACTCTTAAAATAAGATTCTTTGTAGAAGTTCTGACACTTCTTAGTTAATATTAATTTTTCATGTCAACGTTGTAAAATATTGTGTCAAAAATATGAAGTGACAGAGAGTTCCATTTTTAAGACTCTCCTTAGTGTTTATCATGTGAAGTTTTAATGATAGATATGAATTAAGTCAGTTAATTAAGATAATGTACGTTTCCTTAATCACGACAATGCATGTATTTTGTGCCCGTTTGGAGCTAGTTATTTGGGACAACTTATGTTTTTTCCAAAAGGTTTTCATCTTTATAAACTGTTTAGTAAAGTATGGTGTGAGAAAATTATGGTAAGAAAAAGTTGGATTAACGCTAAACTTCATAGAAAGCTTTTATCCAGTTCACCTCTTTTTCGACTTCGAATCTCCTTCCCTATAAAATACGACTATTCTTGATAAATTATGGTCATGTTTAAAAGTTATTTAAAAAAATAACTAAAAGCATTTTTTTTTAGTACATTGGTATTTTAAAACTAAGGAAAGGAAAAGTTCGGTTAAGCCACACAATAGGCAACCTAATTTGGTTAAAAAAAAGGCTAATAACAACGGAAAAATATCACCAGCTTGAGGTTCAAAAATAAGATTTCTTCGTAGACATTCTGACACTTCTTAGTTTAATATTAATTTTTTGTACCAACGTTATAAAATATTATGTTAAAAACATGAAATGGTGAGCGTTCCATTTTTGAGAGTCTCCTTAGTGTTTCTCATGTGAAGCTTTGATGACAGATGTGAGTTAAATCAGTTAGTTAAGAGAGTGTATGTTCCCTTAATCATGACAATTCATGTATTTTGTGCCCGTTTGGAGCTAGTTATTGGGGGAAAAGGATCCTCGCCGAATCATTTTCCTGGGGATTCGGGAGATCTTATGATCATGACAATTCATCGTACATCGTGTGATCAGAAATCATTTAAAATTTAAAATTTAAACTTAAATATTAATAGTACCTAACGAAAATTGACCGTACGATGCACGATGAATGGTCATAATCACTAGATCTTCTAGATCCCCAAGAAAAGGATCACCCCGCGAGGATCCTTTTCCGTTATTTGGGACAATTTATGTTTTTTTCCAAAAGGCTTTTTATCTTTATAAACTATTTAGTAAATTGTGGTGTGAGAAAGTTATGGTAAGAAAAAAGTTGGATTAACGCTAAACTTCACGGAAAGCTTTTATCCGGTTCACCTCTTTTTCGACTTCAAATCTCCTTCCCTATAAAATATGAGTCTTCCTATAAATTATGGTCATGTTTAAATGTTATTTAAAAAATAACTAAAAGCGTTTTTTTTAGTACATAACCAACCCTCTAAAATATCACCAGCTTTAGGTTCATAACTAACCCTCTAAAATCTTAATGATTTGAGTTATAAATCTCGTCTCATCCTTAAAATATGAAATCATTTTATTAATTATTTTCAAATTTAAGGTTATTAAGTAACAATTTTCCTCTTCTCCATAAACCTCTTGAAAATTAAAGTGATGCAAAAAAGCTGAATTTTAAGCTGAAAAAGCACCTGTCTGATTACTCACATGAAAGCACCAACAAACTAAAGCCACCCACAAGCTTTCACCATCTGCTAAACACAAAATTTGGGTTCCAATGGCTTCCAAAATGTACATTTCTCTTCTCTAGAGTTGCACTGGTCTGTACAAAATATCGACACCACACGTATGGCCACAACAAAACAGATTTGAATGGTCATATAGTATCAGTGTGTCACCGGAAGGTCCGGAAACTGTGTTTTTCTATACAACACTCCTATTTTTACATGACAAATGCTAAGGAGACTCAAAAGTGGGGCTCTCCAGGAACTCTCTGCTACTTCATGTTTTTGGCGCAATATAATGTTGGCACAAGAATTAACATTAAATTATAAGGTGACAGAAATAAACGGAGACTCTCACTTTCAGAGTCTCCTTAGCATTTCTCTTTCTACATATTACAAGCACGATAGGATTGGCGAGAGCTTCACATATCTTCAGGTCACATGTCCCACCTCGACTTCCGCTTTCTCTTCTTATCTGGCCTAATAAGCAATTTAACCAACTCTGACAATGGAGACGATGCCATTACCACTGGATCTTCCTCGTCATCGCTACAAATCCAACCGTAGTAAAGTCTAGGCCTTCGGGGTGCAAGTCTGTCTTCTCGATGACAATCGTTAGCATCTGCAAGACAGGTGGAAATTTATAATAGTAGTGATGAATGGGAAATGCACATGACTAGATTTTTAACAATAATTAGAAAACAAGTTACCTGGCATTTTAATCAGTGATGTCAGGCCAGATCCATAACGTTTAAATAGATACCACATTGAAACGAAAGGTGCAGAAAATGTGGAATATCTATGCATTACCTCTAATGATACCCAGAATCGTACATTGGAGAAGTTGCATGATTTATCGAGTGGATTATATTATACGTACGTAAAGACAATTGAAGCACATACTGTCATGAACCAAAAGTTCATTGATCGAAAAATTTACAAACGTAGAATGGCAGTCCTTGAGGTTCCAGCCGCTGATCCATCAGCTTGTGTAGCATTATCGCAAGTAGATAGAATGGCAGTGCTTGAGGGCGCAGCAGCTGATGCGTCATCTAGCGGAGCAGCATCTTCTTGCATAGGGGCATCATCTTGTGAAGCATTACCGTCTTGCGGATCAGCGTCCTTTGAAGCTGTTCATTCAGGAGCGTATAACAACCCTCCTCGATAAATCGCCATGGATTCAATGTCCTACTCTTTCCCTTATAAACCTGAGAGCAAAACCCTTTTCACATTTCAAACAAAACCCAAAACGCAAAGCCGATTTACTCAGAAAATAATGAAAACACACACAATGAAAATTAAAAATTTAGAAAAATTAGACCCACCTTCAGCAGGTCATTCATTCACCGTAGAACGAACGAGTTTCTCGTCAAAAGCCATTTCACGCGTCGCATCAATGGCTGCGTCCATTCGGGTATCCTTCAGCAAATACCGAGTGAAAGTGCAAAATGTCAGAAAAAGACAGTGAGAAAGTGCGGGAAAAGGTGAGAAAGTGTGAGAAAATGATACAAAAGGCCGAACCTTTCTGCCTCGTGCTCGTGGAGCCATTGTTGGAGCTCCATCGCGCCACAATCTGAAGGCCCAAATCAGCTGCTGTGTTGAATTTACTTAAAATGGCTAAAAAGGAAGGAACTTGAGGTTGGCGCGAGCTGCAGGTGGAAGTTCGGTGTGGCACGCAATTCGGAAGTTGCATAGCTTTGTGTTTGGTATTTTCATAACTTGGGCCGCACCGGACTTGTTTTGTGTTTGGGCTATCACTATAAACAAGAGAGAAGTTCTTCTGGCCCGATGGTCCGACCGGACACGTAAAAACAAAAACATCAATACTTGGGCTTTTTTTTTAACGACCTTTTTGTGTGTGTAATGCTCTGTATTTGCGTTCAGATTAAAGAATTTCTCTTATGAGCAAACTCGACAAGTAAGGTGATTCTTTACTCTTTTAGTTTTGCTTCGCGTTTACGGTCTGTTACATTAAGAGCATTGATGTTTATACCATTTATTGTTTTTTTTTTTTAATATAAGTGTCTCGCTTTTATTAGAAAGGATGGTACACACCTAGATGATCAGTTTTCATGATTCAAATAATTTTATTTTTGGATTGCGCCTCAGCCTCTATTGATCCATATTTTAATTGGGTTTGATAAACTTGAGATATTACCTAGTATGCATCAATAATCGATGTACATGATACGCTAGTATCTGTGACCATCGAACGTTTAATTCTTGATTGTACATCTAACTATCTATTTATCTAAATCATATCATATACTAGAGCATAATAAAAATCTTTGATTGTGAATTATGATGTGTCAATTGCCAACAACAAAATGCAATGATGGCCTTATAGATCAAGAAGCTGACTTGCTTTATGGAAATACGAAACATGAAGGTGGAGCTTTATCTCCTAGTTGATGGGATTAAAGATAAGTGTATGTAGAAAGAAGAAAAAGATGCATGGACGATGTCTTTTAAGTAATCGGAAAATCATATCAAGCCAACCTTATCACGATGCATGATTGGAGGTCAGCTTCACATCAAGTTTAAAGGAAACCAATCTTAATTGGAGTATTACTTAGGTTTTCAGATTTGGATTGTTAACTTAAAAAATAGAATCGAGAACTGCATTATGATGCATGAAATTGAATGAGAAAACTGAAAATACAAGTATTAACATTTGGCTTATGTGATAGTCTTCTAGTATGTGACTCTTCTCGGTGTGGGAAATGATAGATCTACTGATGAATAATATATTCAAATCATAATATATCTTCGGTGATAAGTAAGAACTTATGTGAAGCTCACGTATATGGCTAACGACAAATAAATGAGTAGTGCGGATTCAAGGGGTCCTCTTAGGTTATGGGATCCTACTGAAATCGGGAAACATAGGGAGAAAGTCGCTAATTGACCTTATTGGTCATCTAGTATGAGACCTGAGAATGCCCACAAACTGTTAGACGAAATGCCTCCTAGGCCGAGTTTGGCAGGCCTTAGCAAGTGATGCTCAACCTGCTTTAAGACAAGCCTTAGCAGCATGCCTTGGCAGGGGTGATGCTCAACATTAGGCCTTCGAAATTGTTGATAGAACTAGGAAGAAAACGGCATGCTCACTAAATGCTCGGCTAAATGCTTCAATAAAAAAACGAAAATTTTGAATGTTGCGCAAGCTTGAATCTTTTACGCTAAGACTCTAAAAAGTTAAATTTATGAGTCCACCACTACAAATGAAACCTTGTCCATGAATGCACATGATTTTTTTGTGTGTGGTTGGACGGGTGAGCCAATCCGTCGGTCAGACTGACGAATTTCTCCCATCCAAGGAGAGAGGGCCGCCCTATCATAACGTCACATGTGGGATGGATCTTGAGTCGGCCATCCAAGTCACTACTTGAGTTTCGCAGTTACACTCCCAATCCACATCAAGGGATCCCCACCATTCACATGTGACCAGTCAAACCCATAACGTACATAAATCAGCCGCAAAACGACAAGCATGAAGTTTTATTCATGTTAATCCGCTTGTGAGAAAACCAAAAACTGAAAATTTTGAATCCGTCAAAAGCGTTTAATTTCATATTGGTCATCGAAATCATCCGTTTTCGGTTTCATAAGGATTCGCATGCAAATGATTTCAGATTTGAATGATTTATAACAGTAATTGTTTAGAAAATCTAGAAGTCTGACATTTTAGTTGTAAAAGTGTTTAATTGATTTGAATGATTTATAACAGTAATTGTTTAGAAAATCTAGAAGTCTGATATTTTAGTTGTAAAAGTGTTTAATTCTTCTTTAAACTCGACGTATAATTGTATTCAACATCAATAAACGAAAAGAATTTATCTAGAAATTAAGTAGACTGAACATTTTAAGATAAACTAAATGTAACAAAATATTGCTTTGATTCAAAAGAAAACAACACCAATCCACTCTTCAGATCTTGCAATAATGTACTAATATTTATAGGGCCCACACAAAAGATAAGGTAAAGCGCAGGACACCATGTGTATGATACAATGTGAGAGAGAAGCTTAGTGATGTGGTGGTGGGGAGGCTGAGACTTTGGGAGGGCACTGGTAGCACTTTGCGAACAACCCAAAAGTGTCAACTTGCCTGATGAAGTTGGTCATGCTAGCCCACCCTCCAAATCCGAACCCGACTACGAGCACCCACACCACGATGAATGCGTTCACCACGTACATGCCTGTCCAGCTCGGGAGGAAGAACGGAAGCTTCTCTGCCGCATTCTGCCCACACGAAAATCACACAATTGCACTTTAATAAGTAATGCAAGACCAGTGTTGTCTAATGAAATGAGTTGCAGACAAATATGTGCTAGGTTACATTGTCTACGAGGCCTCGTGCACACGCACATACATACACAGACGTATATAGTGGTCTAATGGGGAGATTAGGATTGAGGCATTACCTGGCGAGCAGCGGCGGATTTGAAGGTGAGCATATGAGCTAAGGCGGGTATGATGTAGACGGTGAAGCTGACCAAAAGAGCGCCAACGGCTGAATTAATGGGACCGAAGAAAGGAAATATGATGGCCAAGAACCAAATAGGTATCACCACAGGCAACCTGGCAATTGCCCTCAAACATATGCTCTTGGTGTCATGCATTCCAATTACTTTCTCCCAGACGAAATACAATGGCGTACAAGCAAACCCGAATGTGATGAACTGCATATGCCAACCACATGGGAAAATTACATAACAAAATCGAAATGTTTCAAATTCGAAATCATGGCTCCGAATCTAAAGCAACCATAGTAGCTTAGCTGCTTAGGCAGCGCCAAAACAGCTAGAAAATTTAACAATGTGTACAAGTAACTAGAGTCATCATGATCATCACCTGGTGAATGAGCATCAATGTGACACCCGCATCGCGCCACTTATTGCGGGGAAGGAGCGAGAAGGCGTTCGAGTGGGTGAGGAGTTGGTCGCCAAAGGCCCAGTACACAGCAGTTGCAGATGGAAGGGTTAGAGTGAATACATAGAGCGTAGCAAAGAGATAGACATACTTAAACTTCTGAGGCTTCCACATTGCATGCATGATTTCCCTGCAAACAATAACATCAATTATACCACTTATTATTCCATTTTTATTTTCCACTTTTATTCTCTCATTTATATAAGCATGACCATTCAACGTCACTCGGTCTCCACTTTGTCGGAAAACGCCATGAGTTCGAACTTCAGGACAATAATTGTTAATAAAAAAACAAATTTTCTCACTCATATCATTTTCATTTCCCTTTCATAATTTTCACTGCTCTCTTCAACCCATTAATGGCAAGCAAAAGCTGCATAATAATGAATTCCACTGTGCAAGAAAACCCTTATGAAAACTGAGTAAGAAAATAAAAATAAAAAGGAAGAAGGAACATCATGATTAATTCAAGTCAAAAATTAAAAATTTAGTAGCACTTTAAATAAAGACTCACACAGTAACGGCGTGGCCGCCGAAAGTGTACAGAATGTTGGTGGCGCCGGTGAAATACAAAACCAGTTTATCTGGTCCCGAGTGTTTCACACCCTCAACCTGTAAATCCAAAATAACAGAGCCAAAATCAACGGTGGATAAAGAACGGAGAGATAACAGAAGAGCGATCAGGGACGTTGAATGATTAAAATTAAATTTTTTACCTGGCCATGAACAATGGATGCAATGGTCATGTACCAGGCAGTGTAGGTGGTCATTCCAAGCCCTAAAAAGGACCAAATTCTGTAGTTGTGGAAGGAGGGGATGAAGACTGTGGTGGCACAGCATGCTCCAAATATGTAGGTCCATGTCCTCTTGTCCAGATGGTCATTTATATAGTATATGTTGCTGCATAATCAAGCATTAATTAACAACACAACTCAATAGTTAAGTACTGATCAAACGAAACAAGACGGGAAACATGCGCAAACAGAACTCGTTACGAATTTTTAACCAAAATTAGAACTCGCCGACACTAAACAGACAATAATTAACCCCTTTGAACGCACAAACACAACTGGTTACAAAATTTTAATTAACGTTGAAATGGTGACACTAAACAGACATTAAGTCGTATAAAACCCACATTTAGTGTTCTTCAAATTCAATTTTTTGATTAAAAACATATAACCGGTTTTATTTGTGCATATATCGAAGAAAAGCCCATGTTTCTAAATTTTGTTTATAAAATGATGAATTAAAAATGACATACCTTGCACAGCCTATAAGTTGGATGACAGATCCAAAGAGGAGGAAAGTGCAGTTGAAGGCCAATCCAATGGCTTTCCAGTAAGGACCCAGCAAACCATCCAACACTTCAAACCACTGACAAAAAAAATCCCCACAACAGAATCAAATCAAGAACTTTTCTTTGTTCTTTTTTCTTTCTCTGAACTGAAAATTGAGTGAAAAAATGGTTTGGCATTGTGAGAAATCATCACCTGGATGACATGGTTCTTGAAGCTGACATTTTCCTTTTCTTTTCGGCTTCGATATTCGACGTAGAGAATGCTGATCAGATAAGCAGTCCAGCTTCCCATGATCCCGTAAAATACCTGGAATATGATCCCCGAGAGCATTCCCAGTTGGGAGAAGGAGTAGGGCAGAGTCAGCAGAACCTGAGCAACCTGTTCTTGTTTTGACCAAAACAGAACAGAACAGGGCAGGACAACGTTAGATTATCAGAATTTGTGTCCGAAAATGTGAATTTTGAGGTGGGATTTTGGTAAATCTGTGACCTGGTTCGATGCGCAGCTGAACCAGGCGT